TATTGAAGCAATCAGTGCATAGATCAAAATCTGCCTGTGAATTATGAACATAATCAGGGGATAGAAGAAGCATTATAGAGAAATCAGAAAAAGGAAAAGAAAAAACCAAATATTAATCAAATATTACTGAAAACATGGTTTAATGACCATGACATGACATGACAATCAATTTTATGAAGTACTCATGAGTGACCGCATTATTTCATTTAACTACTGGATTCAAGGCATTACACCACGTAAATATTGAATCGAGATGATGAAGCATGACCACCCAGACTGAAGACCAGATATCAAATAATTGATAATTAAGGATAATAATAATAATAATAATAAAAACTACAGGCATAAATAGCAAAGTAATAAATTTCAGAGCTCATAAGCCATAAGGGGGGAAAAAAACAACCTGCTTTTGGCAATGATAGCGCTTACGAGAGCAATCAGCCGAACAAGAGTTGCAATGGTACTCAACACCTGGCCCCTCAGGCTTCACCAACTCTTCAGCAATTGCAGACTCTAGAAACAACCCAGATGGGGCAGCGGGAGATATTACCTTAGGCTTTGGAGCAACACGAGGACATAATTGAATTTCATCAAAGTGATATAAATTTTCAAGCAAGGAATCCTTTTTTGCTGCTCCACCATCGTCAATATTAGCCGCCATGTCAACATCAGCATTTGCCACCCTATCACCATCAGCATTTGTGGCAGTGGATTCGGGTGGGAATGGATGGAAATTGACTAAGCCCCAGTAGTCCAAGAACTCCAGCACCTCCTGCTTATCATCCACACATCCAACTTCCAGTTCTGACAAATCTTTCAATTCAATTTGAATGTTTGGATTTGCATGGAACTTCTTCATAATCCAATTCCGAATCTCCATATACATATCAGGAGTTCGGTTCTGGGACTTCCCATTGAAAAAAGAAGGCAATCCTTGCTCCTCGAGAGGATGAATTCTTGTCCATGAAAACCAACCTGCAGGCAGCATGTGCTGGTGATAAGAGTCAAAATTGAAAACAAAGCTTTCATTGTCACACACAAAAGAAAAATCAAAATCTTCATTTTCTTTTACTTAATTATTCGAGGTAATTAAGAGGAACGAGCTTCAATCAGGGTAGTTCATCCCAAACCAAGTTTGCATCCAATGATAAAAGTGGACATCAATGTTCCCCAACCTATGGCCATGAACCATAGGGTGGGGAAGATAAGATTGTTTTGAACCAGAAAAAACAAACTTGCTTATCTGCCACACATAGAGGTATTTGGCTATTTATACATTTTATAAATCCAATACATTACAAAATTCAAAATCTCATTCTCATTCCATATTTTCACAGCCATAAATGCCAGTAATCAACATTGGACTGAATACAATCAAAATTTTGGTTCCATGAAAGAAACAATATTGAAAGTATAAAACTAAAAATCTCCTACCTGAGACGTTTAACCCAAACCAAAATACAGTTTAGCAATTCAGCTCAGTAGAGGTACATGTATTAAGGCAGCAAAAATTTTCAAGACTGTGACCTCTGTCTCAACTTATTTCTCAGACAGCAAAGGAAAAAAGAAAGGAAGTTTCCCGTCAAAATATCCAATCTAGAATGATCATGTAAACCAAAAGAAACCAAAGACAACTATAAAAACCTCAACTTTGGAACTCATTCCCCATTTTGAAACCAATAAAATGAAAGAAAAAATCTACTGAGTGGCCAAAAAAACAAAAAATGCCAACCATCCACAATTTATTTCCTTGGCAACCAAATAGAAATATACTAAATTCCTGAGAAAATGCAAAATCTAACATTCATACAAACAGAACCCAACAAAATCTAGCTCAGCTTAGATACCAAACAGAATGTAAAGTTTTGCAAGCTTAGAACTATTAATTTACACAATTTTTTTTTTCAGTAACAAAAACAAAATATCAAATTTAGCTCAACTTAGCTCTCAGAACACACAAAAGTTTAGGTTTTACAATCAAAGTAAAAATTAAAAACAAAAACAGAAAAACTCACCACAATGTGTAGGCACCACATGAACATTACTATCACGAGATCTAATCGCCTCAAAATCCGCCTCGATTTTCGCCTCCAAAGCCTCCCACTGTTGACTCTCTTTGTTCAGTTCCTCAACCACCTCCAGCTTCAAGTCATCACGTGCCCCTTCGAGCTTTCCGCCAGCCAAAGCCGTTCCTCCGGCCGATGCACTGAGACTGCTAGGGCCCTGGCGAGCTCTCGTCAATGGTCCGTTGTGGTTGTAGATCGGGGTATGAGAATTTGAGTTCTTGTCGCGAGTGATTCGTTTCGACGGCGTTGATGAAGTGTTGCCTGCTGAGAGCGCCGTGGCTTTCCTTTTCTGCCCTCCCGCTCGGCGCCGCGACGAAGCTGGTTCTGACGCCGGTGACTCGACCCCGACACCGGCTGAGCTCGTAGCCGCCGGCAGACTCCCGGCTTCCCGGCGCTTCTCTTCCATTATACGATTTGGTTCGTTTCAAGGTTTTTGGTTCAGAGTGGAATTGTCTCTCTGCTCTAGCACATTTATTTGATTGTTATTGGCACGCACAAAAACCGTTTCTTCCACGAAAAAGGAAAGCGTTTTATTGGATATACGGAATGTCAGGACAGCTGAAGATTATAATTGAATCTGGAAATCTAAATTTCTCTTTATGTTTCCGTGTATCGGCGGTCTACAATTTATGTAGACGGGGTTTCACTGGAAGTAAATATCACCGTCGAAATAATTGGACGGTTATTTTTTTTTTTTTTGATGTTATGTGCATTTACTGATTCCAGTAAGTGGATTTAGTTATTGGATTAGGCAACAATTATCAGTGCAAGAATTAAATTAGAGATTAGAGTAATAAAGTTACTCAACTCAATTTAAGGTTGTTTCCAAAATTATATGGGTTGATGGCAAAGTTGAGTTGAATTTAGAAGCATTCATTAAATGTCAAAACTTTGTTTTTATATTCGGACCGGTCTTAACTTGATCAAGCGACCGCCATCCTCGAGTCAGACTAGGATATCATGCTGACCTCAACATGTACTAAATTTTAAATTTTGAATAATTAATATAAATGCTAACTGTCATGTAATGTTATTTGGAAAGTTGCAATTTAGAACGTTTATAGCCATTATTCATAACCTAGCTAGAGGTTGAACACGTTTGATATTGTTCCTGTCGGACTTAACCCAGATCATAGGTTAATGCTAAATCGGGTTTTAGTCATTTAAGTAATCAGTAGAATCGATTTCCTGGTCGGCCTAGGCTGATCTATCCAAGTTTTTGAAACCAAGTCAAAACTGGTGAGCTTTAAAACTTCTATATAACGTTTCCAAACATATCATTTCAGATTTCAAAGAATTATCAGAAAGAGCAAAACAAACTTAATTAAAAAAAACAAGTTTTAAATTAGCTTAATAAACAGGAACTCATTCTTGGTTGTTCTCATGACCATCTTTTATCGTTTTCCGGTAAATACAGTTGCCTCAGTAAAGATGGCTGGAAGTGGAGCCACCAAAGATAAAGAAGCCAGTGCAACATGGCCTATTTGGTGTTAAGATTACCAGATACTCTTAGTATTTTTATTACAAAAGATTTCCAAGCTTGAGAAGAAAATCTTATTTTTTTTTTTCTAGTTCTCAAATTTTTATAGAAATATTTGAAATTCTTGTATAGCATGACATATGAAGGAAATTTTTTTTTTTTTTTGGGTAAATGGTAATATTATAAAGAATGAATAATATAATCTACAAAAGGGAAATCCCTCTTAAGCCGGCCCTTGGACATATAAGATTTAAGAAAGAGACGTAAATATGAGAATGCAGCTTTTATGCTACTGCTGTTGTATTGATTCATATATATAGAGTTACATGATAACAAACTACGGTTACATGAGATAAGAAATGCGTACAAAGTCTTATCTCTACAATTCAAATACAGATAATAACAAGGTGAACAAACTAGAATCTATTGTAACAGATTGATCCTATTAATCTGACTCATCCTCTCTGTCACACGTTTGAATTTGAATGCCATATTTATCCTTAACATCCCCCTTCAAGCTGATAGGGAGTGGACGAACTGAAAGCTTGTCTCGAAGATAAATGAAGCGGGAAGAGGTGAGGCCCTTGGTGAATATGTCAGCCAACTGAACATAGGTGGACATATATCGAAGAATTAAATCTTTTTGAGCAACCTTCTCACATATGAAGTGATAATCAACTTCAATATGCTTAGTTCTGGCGTGAAACACTGGATTAGTAGCAAGTGACAAAGCTCCAATGTTATCACACCAAAGAATAGGGGGAGCAGAGAGTGAAACGTGTAAATCAGAAAGGACCATTCGAAGCCAAGATAACTCTGCAGTGGCAAAGGCCATGGCTCTGTATTCTGTTTCTGTACTGGACTTGGAGACAACTGGTTGCTTTTTGGCACTCCATGAAATCAAGCAGGGACCAAGAAACACGGCATAGCCAGTTATAGATCGACGATCCATGACATCACCTGCCTAGTCGGAGTCACTAAATGCTTGAAGTTGTAATGGACCTTTGGTGAAGTAGAGGCTGTGATGAAGTGTCCCTTTGAGATATCTCAGTACACACTTAGCTGCAGACCAATGTAGGGAGGTAGGTGCATGCATAAATTGACAAAGTTGGTTGACCACACAGGCAAGTTCAGGTCTGGTGAGAGTGCAATATTGAAGAGCACCAACCACTTGTCTGTAAGCGGTAATGTCTTGAATTGGATCACCATCATTTCGGGACAGTTTTGTACCTGCAGCTAAGGGTGTGGAACAGGGTTTAGCTCCTGCCATGTTTGCTCGATGGAGCACATCTGTAATGTATTTTGACTGAGAGAGGTAGAGTCCAGGCTGATTTCTAACAACTTGAATGCCGAGGAAGTAATTTAGGGAACCTAAATCCTTCATGGCAAAACTCTTCTTCAACTTGGTAATAAGATCCATGATGANAGGATAATAATAATAATAATAAAAACTACAGGCATAAATAGCAAAGTAATAAATTTCAGAGCTCATAAGCCATAAGGGGGGAAAAAAACAACCTGCTTTTGGCAATGATAGCGCTTACGAGAGCAATCAGCCGAACAAGAGTTGCAATGGTACTCAACACCTGGCCCCTCAGGCTTCACCAACTCTTCAGCAATTGCAGACTCTAGAAACAACCCAGATGGGGCAGCGGGAGATATTACCTTAGGCTTTGGAGCAACACGAGGACATAATTGAATTTCATCAAAGTGATATAAATTTTCAAGCAAGGAATCCTTTTTTGCTGCTCCACCATCGTCAATATTAGCCGCCATGTCAACATCAGCATTTGCCACCCTATCACCATCAGCATTTGTGGCAGTGGATTCGGGTGGGAATGGATGGAAATTGACTAAGCCCCAGTAGTCCAAGAACTCCAGCACCTCCTGCTTATCATCCACACATCCAACTTCCAGTTCTGACAAATCTTTCAATTCAATTTGAATGTTTGGATTTGCATGGAACTTCTTCATAATCCAATTCCGAATCTCCATATACATATCAGGAGTTCGGTTCTGGGACTTCCCATTGAAAAAAGAAGGCAATCCTTGCTCCTCGAGAGGATGAATTCTTGTCCATGAAAACCAACCTGCAGGCAGCATGTGCTGGTGATAAGAGTCAAAATTGAAAACAAAGCTTTCATTGTCACACACAAAAGAAAAATCAAAATCTTCATTTTCTTTTACTTAATTATTCGAGGTAATTAAGAGGAACGAGCTTCAATCAGGGTAGTTCATCCCAAACCAAGTTTGCATCCAATGATAAAAGTGGACATCAATGTTCCCCAACCTATGGCCATGAACCATAGGGTGGGGAAGATAAGATTGTTTTGAACCAGAAAAAACAAACTTGCTTATCTGCCACACATAGAGGTATTTGGCTATTTATACATTTTATAAATCCAATACATTACAAAATTCAAAATCTCATTCTCATTCCATATTTTCACAGCCATAAATGCCAGTAATCAACATTGGACTGAATACAATCAAAATTTTGGTTCCATGAAAGAAACAATATTGAAAGTATAAAACTAAAAATCTCCTACCTGAGACGTTTAACCCAAACCAAAATACAGTTTAGCAATTCAGCTCAGTAGAGGTACATGTATTAAGGCAGCAAAAATTTTCAAGACTGTGACCTCTGTCTCAACTTATTTCTCAGACAGCAAAGGAAAAAAGAAAGGAAGTTTCCCGTCAAAATATCCAATCTAGAATGATCATGTAAACCAAAAGAAACCAAAGACAACTATAAAAACCTCAACTTTGGAACTCATTCCCCATTTTGAAACCAATAAAATGAAAGAAAAAATCTACTGAGTGGCCAAAAAAACAAAAAATGCCAACCATCCACAATTTATTTCCTTGGCAACCAAATAGAAATATACTAAATTCCTGAGAAAATGCAAAATCTAACATTCATACAAACAGAACCCAACAAAATCTAGCTCAGCTTAGATACCAAACAGAATGTAAAGTTTTGCAAGCTTAGAACTATTAATTTACACAATTTTTTTTTTCAGTAACAAAAACAAAATATCAAATTTAGCTCAACTTAGCTCTCAGAACACACAAAAGTTTAGGTTTTACAATCAAAGTAAAAATTAAAAACAAAAACAGAAAAACTCACCACAATGTGTAGGCACCACATGAACATTACTATCACGAGATCTAATCGCCTCAAAATCCGCCTCGATTTTCGCCTCCAAAGCCTCCCACTGTTGACTCTCTTTGTTCAGTTCCTCAACCACCTCCAGCTTCAAGTCATCACGTGCCCCTTCGAGCTTTCCGCCAGCCAAAGCCGTTCCTCCGGCCGATGCACTGAGACTGCTAGGGCCCTGGCGAGCTCTCGTCAATGGTCCGTTGTGGTTGTAGATCGGGGTATGAGAATTTGAGTTCTTGTCGCGAGTGATTCGTTTCGACGGCGTTGATGAAGTGTTGCCTGCTGAGAGCGCCGTGGCTTTCCTTTTCTGCCCTCCCGCTCGGCGCCGCGACGAAGCTGGTTCTGACGCCGGTGACTCGACCCCGACACCGGCTGAGCTCGTAGCCGCCGGCAGACTCCCGGCTTCCCGGCGCTTCTCTTCCATTATACGATTTGGTTCGTTTCAAGGTTTTTGGTTCAGAGTGGAATTGTCTCTCTGCTCTAGCACATTTATTTGATTGTTATTGGCACGCACAAAAACCGTTTCTTCCACGAAAAAGGAAAGCGTTTTATTGGATATACGGAATGTCAGACACCTGGAAGATATAAATTGAATCTGGAAATATAAATTTTCTCTTTATGTTTCCGTGTATCGGCGGTCTACAATTTATGTAGATGGGTTTCATTGGAGAGTAAATCTACACCGTCGAAATTAAATTGGACGGTTATTTTTTTTTTTTTTGATGATTTGCATTTACTGATTTCCAGTTGAAGTGGATTTAGTTATTGGATTGAGGCAACAATTATCAGGTGCAAAGAATTAAATTAGAGATTTAGAGTATATAAAGTTACTCAACTCAATTTAAGGTTGTTTCCAAAATTATATGGGTTGATGGGCCAAAAAGTTGAGTTGAATTTAGAAGGCATTCATTAAAGTCAAAACATTTGTTTTTATATTCGAACCGGGTCTTAACTTGATCAAGGAGCCGATCCTCGGGTCAGACTAGTGATATCATGCTGACCTCAACATGATATAATTTTTTTTTTTTTAAATTTTAATAATTAATAAAGTGCTAATGTCAATGTGATGTTATTTGAAATTGAAAATTTGAAATTACAATTTAGTAACCTGGTTTAGCCATCAATTCCCTGACCTAGAGGTTGAACCACGGTTCGATATTGTTCCTGCCAACTTAACCCCAGATCAATACGGTCAATGCTAAAACGGGTTTTAGTCATTTAGTAGATCAGATTATGGACCGATTCCTGGTCGGCTAGGCTGATCTATCCAAGTTTTGAAACCAAGGTCAAAAACTTGGTGAGCTTTAAAACTTCTTATCTAACGTTCCAACATATCATTAGATTTCAAGATTATCAGAAGAGCAACGACTTAATAAAAAGGGCAATACTATGTGCACTAACTATTTGTACTAATCCAAGTACTAATATTGAAAATTTGAAATTCCTCCCAAAAAAAAATTTCAAATTTTCAATGTTATTACTTGAATTAGTACAAAATGGTTAGTGCATATAATATTATTGTAATAAAAACAACAATTAAATTAGCTTAATAAACAGGAACTCATCTTCTTGGTTGTTCTCATGATCATCTTTTATCGTTTTCTCCAGGTAAATACAGTTCCTCAGTAAAGATGGCTGGAAGTGGAGCCACCAAAAGATAACAGAAGCCAGGCAACATGGCCTATTTGGTGTTAAGATTTCCCAGATACTTCATTTAGTATTTTATTTACAAAAGATTTCCAAGCTTGAGAAGAAAATCTTTTTTTTTTTTCTTTCTAGTTCTCAAAATTTTTATAGAAATATTTGAAATTCTTGTATAGACATACATATGAAAGGAAATTTTTTTTTTTTTTTTTTTTTGGGTAAATGGTAATATTATAAAGAATGAATAATATAATCTACAAAAGGGAAATCCCTCTTAAGCCGGGCCTTGGACATGCCCAAGAACTGCAGCAAGCAAAAGAAAACAAAACATATACACCCCATAACCATCAACCAGCACAGCCTCAAGGAACCAAAAAGAAAGGTCCCTGGGAACAGCACAACTAGGCCCTATACATAGGCAGCAAAAACACCCTATTAAGATTTCTATACACCACTAAAAACACAGAGAACCTGTAGACTTTTCCTTTATCAGCAGTAAAAAAACCCCAGCTACTCATAATTCCCCAATACATACAAAACCCTCCATAATGACCTGCAATTCGTCTTGGCTATGTTGCCAAGAACAAACAGCCTGCATAAGTAAAAAAACATTTCTGCAAAAAAGTAAAAGGCAGCCAACTCACTCAACACACTCATGGACAAATGATATTCATTTTATGCTGATCAACCATGAACTTATGATTCTAGACAGACTTTTGTGGGCATTTGAGAAGCCAGAGGGAGTTCCCCAGCTGTTGGAAAATTTTCTATCATGCTGAGATTCATTTGATCATGTTACCAGGTTGATCAAAGCACTGGTGAGGCAGAGGAGGATGGTGCATGTGGAAGATGAATATTACCAGTTGGAGGAGCTTGAGTTTGTTGCAGCTCTGGTTACATGATGAAAGTGGGGGTCTCCAATTTCAGGAATGCATGGAAAAGCTGTTTGTGCTGTCATCAGCTTCTTATTGTCACCATTTTATTTCTGAATTCTAGTTTCTTAAATGTAGAATATAGAAAACTTGGTAGAAATTAACGAACTTGATTTGAATTTAAAGAACAATTAACTTGGCAGGACTTCATTTAATGATCATATTTTACAATGCTCACAGGCTGAACTTCTTCCTGCAATTCATAGAATAAACCAACACATTACATAGCTTATTTATACACGCTGAGCCCATTTCAACTTCCATAAACAACACATTACATGCTCAATTATTGCAAACCCTAGAAAACCAAACTGATCAGTCTTCTAGTTATGAGCATTATACTAATACGGGGCTCTACCTAGCATCTGCATAGTTCATTCACTTGTGGTAGATTGTACTATCAGGACTTGAATCGACATAAATTGTAGTATCAGGACTTGAATCAACATAAATTGTATCAGGACTCGACTCGATAGCTCTAAGAGAGAATTTTTTTCCAGTTGCTTTAACACCGTTGTCATAGATTGAAACATCCGGCCTTGGTTCGAAATGCTTAATAAAGAGTTTCTCTTTGGTTGGTTTAATATCATTATGATAAATCAAAATATCAGGTTTTGATTCAAAATCCTTAATGAAATATTTTTGTTCAGGTTTGATATTATTGTGGTAAATAGTAGTATCAGGTCTTGGCTCAAAATCTTTGACAAAAAAATTTTCTTTGGTTGGTTTGATTTCATTGTGGTAAATTGTAGTATCGGGACTCAGCTTAATGTCGAAGGCATGACGGTCAGGTTTCTCATTAGAGAGAGACCTGGTAGGATCTGCAGTGACCAGACTGATTTCCACAGATTCTGATACAGATTGATCTTTCACGACATCTCTCCAGTATTCTCCCATATCTTTCCTTCCATCAATAGAGCTAGCAAACTGCACAAGAAAAGAAAATTATTCCCATAAAAAACTGAAGATTATTGATTGAAAATTCTTAATTTATTTCCAAAATAAAAATGTTCTACGTAAGCTATATGAAAAGCTTCAAAAACATATATGAAAAAAGGATCGATATTGAACCCTGTGTTAATCTTTCTCTTCGTAGAAAGAAATGCTTACCAAGAGAAGCAAGGAGAGTATGCAGAGAGCATATGAAGCTTTCATGTTTCCCATTAATTAAACCAAGTGTCTTAGATAAAACTTGTATGATTTTGCATGGAAGCCTTATTTTTCTCGCTATTTATAGATAAAAAATCTCGAATCTCATGCATGCATGTTGTTTCGACAATATTACATTTACAATTTAATCTCACAAATTTTCTCTCATAACTCTGATGTAATAGTTTGCAATTGGTCGTGTCATAATTAAAAACTGACTAATTGCGAGATGCTACACGAGTTTGTGAAAAAAAGTTTGTAAGATTGAATTGTGGGTAAATCATTATTGATATTGTTTCATGTCGGTGATTAGAACATAAAATAATTAAGGGCCTACGTGTTAAAGATGATATGAAAGCCTGTTCAATAATACAATTTGAAATCCAATAATTTCAACTCCATGGACCCAGTCATCATCGACTGAGACAAGTTACACTATATGAAGACTTAAATTATTTGTTCATTTTTACTTTTCCCTTGATATTTTAGTGCAATGGGGTCGGGGCTGTGAAGGGATATGAAACTCATGATGCCACTTATTTTTTCTGGATATTATTATATATTTGATATTCAAATATTATTTTACGAACTATGTAAAAGGTTGTTGAAAATGGTGATGAACATATAGTTAATTAATTCTTCTGTTTTCTAGCATATGAATTTCATTCTTCCCATGTCCTTAATGAAAGATCCATTCATTAATTATGGGTCCTTATTTCATAATCTTATTGGTCTCTCTTGTATTAACTTTTACATCTTTGATTCTTGGTTCATTGTTAAGGGGCATGTTGAAAGCAAGTGTACTAGACTAAATTAATAGTAAAACAAAAATAATTCTTCTACCATTTCGACTTTAAATAAATAAATAAATATTAATGAAGAATATTCTTGAGATCATTGGAAGAAATCTCATTTTAAACGAGTGCTCATCCACCTGGTGATGCTGGCGATGTAAACTATATTATGTGGTATTTAATTATAGGGTAGTAAACATTGGATCGTTCTGTGGTGTGATGAACTAAATGGCGTCTCTTTGTATCTCATGTAGCTCATTATAGTAAACATTTTGGCCTCCCTCAAATTTATATATGTTAGAGTTGTGGACTACTTCAGCATTAATGGGTTATGCAGATACATTCGGGGGTCCCGCTGTCTGGTCAGTGGGTGGAGGCCCCATTCCCCAGTGAGCGGGCAGGGGTTTGGGCCTTTTCCATGTATAATCGCTGTAAGATTTCTTTAAGTTATTAATTCCTTATTAGATTGAGCTTAGGAATAGGAATCCTTGTAAATCTAGGTTTTGTCACTTAAACCTATTTTATAAATATATTTTTCTCTTGTTATGAGTGTCATAGCAAATCATAGAATAATTCATTCATTGTAAACGAGAGAGAGGTAAGGAAATATTGCAATAATATTGACTTGGCTAGACGTAGTCCATATTGGATGAACTATGGTAAATCGCGCGTGTTATTTTCTCTATGTTTATTATCTGTGATTCACTTTATTATTGTTTTGTTCTCGCTACTGTCTCTATTTCATTTAGAATATGCAGAACAAATTAAGATGTCTTACGCTCTCTCAAGTAGGGATGGCAATTGGGTACATAGAACTGCGGATCCTAACCCTAAGGGGTTGGCCTGGCGACTAAGGAAGTTTGTTCTCTTCTTTGAGTTTATAGGTTTAAACCTTAGTACTACCTAGCTACGACATTGTGGTTTATTTGATAATGGCGTTCAATGGACTTCAGAGATTAATTGAGATGCGTGTAAGTTGACACGAATACTTTGGTTACAAAATAAATAAATATAGATCCTAGGGTTATCAAACCCTAATTGGAAGGTTGTGATAATCGTCCAAACCTGTTTTTTAATTATGAGTGGTGTTATTTAGGCCCCAAAATCGATAATAAATAAATAAATGGCTACAATTAAGAACTTTGGATAATCAACTTTGGATCATACTGTGTGATGAACTTAATGGTCTCTCTCTCTCTCTCTCTCTCTCATCTAGCTAGCCATGAATGAATTATATAACATAGAGATTTTACCTTAGAATTTGCATGAAAGTTTTCTCAGCTCAAATACCAAATGGATTAAAATACTATATGGTTAAAATTAGACTACAATAAAAGAACATGTAAACATTAATTGAAACATGCATGATAAAACCGAGTTTAATTGGTGATCTCTTCATTATTCAGGCTGAAAAAAATCTGTGAGTAGCCGACATCAATAATGCAAGTTGAAGATATCTCAGGCCTGGAAAAGTGAGTGGCAGATATCAATAATGCAAATTAAAGATATCTCGGGCCTGGAAAAGTATCCTAGCAATGAATGAAAACATGAAATGTGTATAAAAAACCTGACTAGACTACTGTTCGCACATCAGAATCTAATGTTGCCACACATTATGCGATGAAAACAGTATAAGGGAAAGGTACACATCAATTTTGAATGTCATAACATGTGAACTAAGAAAATGATTGTGCTTAAACAAAATAGTGTGGTAAAAAATGTATGTGTTTGGCAAAAATACTTAACGGTGTTATTTAAGCTCCATCCAAACTTTTTCTAAGCCTCAAAATCAATAATAAATAAATAAATTACTACAGTTAAGAACTTTGATTGATCTAGCTAGCCATGAATGAATTAAAGAGTATAGAGATTTTACGTTAGAATTAGCATGAAAGTTTTCTCAGCTCAAATACCAAATGGATTCAAATACTATATGGTTAAAATTAGACTACAATAAAAAGAAAATGTAAACATTAATTGAATTGGTGGTCTCTTCATTATTGAGGCTGAAAAAATCTGTGAGTAACCGACATCAATATTCAATAATGCAAATTAAAGATCATAAAGAACACCAAACCATGCAAGCTACCACAATCTAATATATCAATAATTTCAAAGATTTTGGAAAATGACATATTCTAGCGTATATTAAACTCATGGACCCCTTCTTTGTCTCTGCATTAATTATCCGTTCGTACTTTATTTTTCCTTTTTCGGAGCGAACAATTTACATGTATCTCAATTTTCCTTTTTCATAGTGCACAATTTATTATATCTCAATTAATCCATGAGTCCATTAAATACCTTACATGTTTCTTTTTTCAATATCTCTGGTTAATAATATTGAAATTAATGCCGACAGCAACTAATATATATGTATAGATCCTGTAATCTCTAGGGAATAAATCAATTTAAAATCAGATTTCCACCCTGACATTTTTTCACTAGTTTTCTTATGTTCCACATGCAAATTAAGTAATTAAAGCTGGCCTTTGATTTGATAACAAGCAAAGAATAAGATTAGCGTGAAGGTAACTTTTTCTTGACTGAATAAAACACTTCAGTCCTTTGTTCCATATATATGCAATCTCTTCTCTTTCTGATTTACTTGTTAACTAAAGCAAGGAATAGGATGAAGATGTTCAGGATTGCAGTTGGAACGTCTTCCTGTGTCTTCTTTTTATGGTAATTAATCTTCAATCTGTAGGAATTGGCGTGTTATAAGTATGAAACTCAAAATCTTGATTTTTTTTTTTTTTTTTTTAAATATTAGAAATGTATTGCTGATCATTCATCCAAGTTTATGCTAGAATGGGTAAACTGTTTCACAGAGTGCTTACAGAAGTTGTGCCAAGGAGATGACTGATATACTCTCGCAGTCGGAAGAATTAATAGGCCATAACCATGATGCCCATCATCAGTTCATGCTCATCAGTCATCCCACATGGATCCTTCATCTATGGTGTTCTTCACCATGAAGATCTTAAAAAAGGGAACACTATGCCCATCTATTTCCGGGAAGAACTTTCAGATGTTTTCCTCGTTTGTTGCATGAGAAAAAGCTGATTCAATTCCATTTTCACTGGAACAGCTTCCATCCTTCTAAAACACTTCTCCTTTCCAAAAGACTCAACTCAAGCCAGAGCCATGGAACATACACTAAGCAATGCGAAAAACCATCCTATTGAAGAGAAATAAAACTCTGTCCAACATCCTTAGAATCCATGTCGATTTCGCCCGAAGTGCTTTCCGTTTGGGGACTGAATTTAAATTTGTAAACAACTAGACGCCTCACAAAATCGACAACTGAATTCCAGAATTACACTATCCTGGAAGTCCCCGACAGATATTTGCTCCCAAGATGGTAGCATGTCACACCAGCCTTACCCTTATGCAGTTTTTACTGCCTAGCCAAGAGACTGAGAACAAGGTATTCAGAGTTTCACTGGTTGGTGACAATGGAGATAGAGTGGAAGCTATTGCAGTTTGCCACATGGATACCTCTAAGTGGAGCCGCGATCACGCGTCGTTTCGTGTGCTTGGGATCGAGCCAGGGAGCTCCCATGTTTGCCATTTCTTCCAACCAGATAATCTCATATTTGTTCCAGTTTCTTCCTCCATTAGTAATATCTAAATTAATGTTATGCTGCTTGCTTGCGTGTGTTGTACGTGCCTATCTAAGTTTCTGCAAATAAATGCTGTTTAGTACTGTTGTGCATCTCCAGTGTGGAATGGAATAATGTCGCTGTATATGGGTCGACCTTGCTATCTAATAAATAGTACTTACTGTTAAGAACCCTTTTCAATTTCATAACGAAGTGGCAGAATTATGTATGCTTTTCTATTTTAATTTCTTTAATTTTACAATAATTAATCTTTTTAGCACTAACACCATCTTATCACAATATCAATGCTCAGCAATCATCAAAATACTATTGCATAAGTTTTATATTCTGGACTGAAATTGGAGCCACGTCCTCTAACTGTGAACTCTTTTAACAACAGAGAACAATAATCAGGTTTGATTCCCACAGTTGATGCTTGATTTTGACACCAACTAATTGCATGTGAGAAATGTTGAGCGGACTCAGAAGTCACACGTGTATATGGGGGTATTCAATTGGGTAAGAGATGAAGAACAATGTTTAAAGTGGTTCGGATGTTTAAATAAGCGAATCCTACGTTTACTGATATTGTATTAATATATAAAATCAAGTCGCGTTCAGCGAGCTGATTTATAGCTTGGAGAATACAA